CGACCGAAACTGGTTTTTACGACCGAAACCGAAACCGAATTTCGGCAACGGTCTCAGTTTCGGCCGAAACCGAAACCGAAACCGAAACTTCCTTATAAGGACCATGTTTTGAGAGAAAAATAAAGAAAACGTTATTATAATCAGTCAGTTTTACTTTTTTATCTTTAAATCACATAGCTCTGCAGTCTTTGACATTTTCACATATTGATAATAATCAAATCAAAATCAACATAACAACCCCTCATTTAATTGCGCCTTAAAAATACTTAAAATAGGTGAGATGTTTACTTGAGTAAGTATAGTAGACTAGACTCATTTTTATTTTGAAGATGCGAAATGTCTACTAACCTACTTCGCTTGGATGGAATTTAACGCGCCGAACATGACCGAGCAGAGCGCGAGAACTCCCGAACGCAGTTTCGGTTTCGGTTGTAGTTTCGTTCTTTTTGCCGAAACTCAACCGAAACCGAAACCGAAACCGAACTTTCGGTCGGACACTAGAAACAAGAGTTAAGTGCAGTCGAGACCTAGACCTAGAACTAGACATAGTAGCGGACTTCTTTAAAAAAATGTAGTTTTGCAAGCTTTTTATTCAGTTCACGTTTGCATGTATAAATAAGTGTTTATGTTTATTTAGTTAAAATCTGGCAAGTGAAATTTATATTCGACGTAAATTATTTAGGCTAAATAAACATACATACCTACAATATGGAATGGATATGAGTAAGAAAAATAAACTACGAATCGATCGACAACAAAATTAGATAAAATAAATCAAAGATAGTTTTTTTATTGTTTGTAGCGTGTTATATGTGTTTTCGTGCCTTCAATTTACTGAACTCCTCAATAACTTCTGCGAAATCAATTTCTTTCGAAATTTTTCTTTCTATTGAAAGCACGGCTAGATTAACCAGTCGCTCCTGATGCAACAAAAATCAAATACACTATTACACTTTTTAGTGAAATTACTTTGAACGGATAATATCGCGTTTATTACTTTACAATTTGAAAAAAGGCTTATGCGTTCGCGAAAATATCAGAACACACTAATAAATTATTAAATATCAACGCAATGAAATTTAATATACTTTAAATGAGGCCAATGATTTTTTTTCGACGTAAATAGAATGTAGTGAATGTAAATGTAGGCGTACAAGAGTGAAGTATTTGCACTTCATTCATTCAGGGATTCCTGGGGAAGTACCCGCTACAAAAGACGGGAATTCCCCCAGCGTATTGGACGCGTTCAGCAAAGTTAAAAGAATATCAGTACATATACAGCGTAAAAAGTCTAGATGACTGTAGTGTTTTTATCGTGATGAAGCTTTGAAGGTACTAAGCACATTTTTAAAGTCATGTATAGGATTTGATCAGGGGAACGCGGAGGCATTTGGGAGCCCCCAAAAGCGGAGGCCCGGGGCGGAACGCCCCTTCCGCCCCCCTCTTAGTCCGCCACCGCATAGACCTAGATTACTGTTCCCAGATAGTTAATGATGTAAGATATTCTAGTGTTAAGGAAATACGAAGACTAGCTCAGGAAAGAGTGGAGGTGCGTGTCCAAACAGTCTTAAGACTGATGACCATGTAATGATGATCAGTAGTGGGAGTATACATAAATCTGAGTTAACACTCAAAGAGGATGGCGGTGTTCTTACCTTGAATTTCATATGTTCCAGAGCTAGGGTAAGGGTACATTGTCTTGTCACCTACTTTCCATGAAACTCCCAACGACGGATTATAGACAATGATGGCAAATCCTTGGCAATCTGAGACATATACAATGGTATCCTTACATTGTTTGTCTCGCACATCTACAACTGGAACTACGAAAACTGATCTGGGCTCGTATTGATTAGAGGGTATTTCGTATCTGTATAACAATGTATCCTAAAAGCAAATACGGTCATTAAAATTTATGACTACTGCTTAATAATATCAAAAACCATGTACACTGTGCATACCTGTGTATATTTATAATGAATAATTGCCAGTTTTAGATTAATGTCTCCGAAGTAAAAACCGTATGAGTAAATGTGAATGACACTGTACTCTGTTCATTTTCAAGATGGACCGAAAATAAACACAATCACGCGACATGCACTATTTACATGTTTGTAAAATATTTGTTAATATTTTAGTCATAATTGTATATGTTTTTATTTGTAGGTATATCTGTTCATTTGCACGTTTGTTTGTTTGTTTGTTTGTTTATTTGTATCAATTGTCCGAAATCAGTACTCAATATTATTATTTAGAATTTGAAGAATTTGCCTTGAGCATTATTGTTGTGCAGGTACCAAAGAAACTTAATCACGTTTATTGCCTGTTCCAAAAGGCTCATTACCATTCGGTAATTCCAGTGTTCGTAAAGTTCATCATCCTGACAATAGTTATGCAGTTTGAACCAGTTTCGGCTGGCTCATTTTTCTAGTAGGGATTTTGAAAAAAATCCCTAAAAAGTCATTTTAAATGAGACCTAATAATTCCTAGTCCAGACAGTAGCCCCTACAGTGAAGCCCACCGAATTTTCCCTAATGGTGTGATAGCCTTAACTGTAGCTTCTGGAGAATGAAGCTTCTCCAAATTAAAAACACGAAATTAAAGCTACAAAATCTATTTGTTTTTTTTATTGATATTTATATTGTCTAATTTTGAATTGTACGACACATTGCACTAGAAAATATTATTTATTTACTCTTTTTGCTTATAAGTGAACTTACTGCTAACCTACTTATCTAGGAGATATTAGTTTCGCTAGAAACGCTACTAATCATATCTACACACATATGTGCACTACAAAAATTGTTAGAAATTAAAACACCTTGTTAGAATATAGCCTTCCAGACTATTACCAAATTAATTTTTGAGTCACCCAAAAACGTTCGGCATTTGACATATTTCATTTGCAGCGATTATTACCCAGTTCTGCAGATCATTAATTTAACGTAACATAAAGTAAATATGAGCAAAAAAATACGAAGGAAATGCAACGCCAATGCTGCTAATTACCAGCTTGTTGAATGCGGCGTTGCATTGTCATATTTCTGTACGTGACTTGCCAGGCTGTACTTTCATACGTGTTTTTCTCGAAAACGGTGAACTTTCGCACATATAAGCTCCTACTAAATTTTGTTTTATAACGCCCTATTATCTCCTGCAAGTCTGTCAGTTATTTCAAAAACACCTTATATAAGCTGCGTCATTTAAGTTTGACAAGAAGATACATTCGTATATCGTGCAGTTAGCAGTACATATTAGAAGACGGCAATGTACTGCACATAAATTGAAAAAAGTTAAGTCGGTGTAAAGTGAATGTTGTACTTACAGTTTTCAAATCAAATGCCAATATTTGTGCAGGGCAAATATAGCTGTCGTTTCTACTTCCTGTATCAAGTATCCATAGCCTACCGCATTCGTCAACCTAAAACAATATGAAAATATCAGTTACTTTATTGCATTTATATGAAATATTCTCAATTTTTACCCACTACACACTACCTCAAATTAATGAGGAAAAATTGTTGCTGTTGTCACACCCCCGCCGGGAACAGCAACAGTTTTTCCTCATTAATTTGAGGTAGTGTGTAGAGGGTAAAAATTGACAATATTTCATATTAAAACTNGTTATTTTTTTTTAATTTATTTTTCATTAAGTTTTACATATACAACTGATCTTACAATTTATTAATTTTCATGAGATACCACCATATATGTACGTGAATTGTGAAAAAATTTTAGATATTAATAACTCATCTATTTTAAGATTTTATTCTCATTGTTCATGTACCAAACAAAAAGGAGGAGGAGACTTTAATAAGGAACCAAAAATTAAGTTGGTTACATTGAATTAATTATTGATATGTGGGTGCTGACACGTTAAAAATGGTACTTATATGGGGGTATCTTTGGTGTATGACAACGATTAGTTAGCAAACAGTTATTCGTTATTCATGGAGCTTATTCTAGCCTTCAATTCCCTGAAATCTAGACGATTTACATTTACTTCCTCTTAATACGTCGTCAACACGTACTGTATGTATTCTGAAATTGGTTTCGTTTAGCGACAGTGTACTTGTATAGAATTTTTGGAATCTGTCTGAAACGAACCACAGTTCTTGAAAACCTAACGGATTGTTAATGACCTGTTGACAAAAAGAAATATAAATTACGTTAGTCTTAATTTGTACAGTTGATTTGCCCCACTAGAATTTGTAGAGAACATGCCTTATGTGGGGTGTGAATCTCATGAGGTGAGGTAGATTCCTCATTTTAACTCACAAAAGGAATCGGCGATACTGAAGTAAGATGCATATGTCTTATGATGAGTTTTTCAGAAAGATCTTATGAAGTAAACCTAATGCATTTATAACCTTGCAAAAAAGTGGACGATGCCACCTTCTGTCTTATAGGTATCGAATTAAAATGGCCCTGACAAAAATAGACCTTGTTTAGTCAACGACTACCTGGTTGGTGTTTAGTTTATATATACAAATCTCTACGCACTTGAAGTTGATGACGATTTTAGTAGTCGGTAGCATGGCTTTTACAGAAAGAATTCCTACTTTTTCGAAATCCATTTTCATAACTTCTGGATACCAATTGGAAAGTTTGTATAAAATAATTTCAAATAACCTACAATATGTTGTTCTTTTCTTATTTTACAAAAGTACATAGGTACATTGCTGATATGACACTTCCCTGCATCAAATCACCACCTTTATCTACATGGATTGCGTATATTTGAATAAAAGTGATTCCCTATAAAAATCCTATTTTCATAACAAGTAGATAGGTGTTTGAATGTAATGTAAATATGGGGTCGATTTATTGGTCCAACTTGACAATCATTTCAGATGACCGAATAACAGACACGGTCGATTTTTTGTCAGGGTCAATTTTTACCAGGGTGCATTTTGTCCTGAAATCGTCTTGATTGAAATATGAGAAGTCTTTGTAGATAAAATTGTCAGACATATGTGATAATTAGTATTTAATGATATTAATTGTCCCAAGGTTTTTCGGAGTGGGTAGCGATCGTTTTTCTTTAGGAAGACAATATGCGGCATTCATAAATGTGATATGCCCTTTGCGAGTCGTATGGGGTGGCCTATGCAGTGCGGCAAACTTCGTGGGGACTACTATGATAATGAAGTGAAATTACGATTATAAATTAATTTGATACAAAATATCGATATATAGCATTTCGTATAGTATAGGTTCGTTGAAAAATTGAGACTTATTCTTTATGAAGGCAAGGTGAAGATTTTTCGGTCTGGGTGTACGTGTTATGTTTACTGCCTGGGGGTACGTACCATTAGTTCGTATAACAAGTTTCAACTTATTCTCTCAAGTTGTTCGTTTATACGAATTTTTTGCAGTAGGCATCTTGTGTGTTTATCGTTAAAATGGATAAACTGGAATATTGTGAGGTCATAAAATTCTTCATTTTGGATGGGGTAATCCCTAAAGAAATTCATCCGATTTTGACAAAAGTTTACGGAGAAGCCACTAATTCCATGTCAACCTTTAGAAAGTGGGCTGCAGAATTTAAATGTAGTTGCATGTCCTTGGAAGATGACGTCACGGTAAGGACAGTCAAAAACCACTACCACACCGGAAATCATCTGAAAAGTACATGATATCGTGTGATCGTGATGATAGGCGAGCGAAGGTGAGTGAGATATAAGAAGCTGTGGGAATATCGGAAGATAGAGTGCGAAACATTTGGCACAAAGAATTAGGGATGCGAATGCAAAGTGGGTGCCGCATTTGCTCAATGCCGATTAAAAGCAAATGCACAAACGATATTCGCAACAATGTTTGAATCGATTCAATGGGGATTGGTCCGATGTCCGATTTTACTCGGCACTAGAAAGAAACATTGTTCAACCACTGCACACCAGAAACGAAACAGCAATCCAAGTAGGAGGTGGATGCTGGTGTTCCAGCACCAAAGGAATTCAAGTCGATCACATCTGCCGGAAAGGTATTTCCAGATGTTTTGAAATGCGAAAGGAATCCTGCTAATCGATTATCTTAAAAAAGGCATAAAAATTACAGGCGAATGTTTCTATAACCTTCTCGACCAGCTGGATGTTAAAATTCGCGAAAAGAGAACATCCTTCCAGGCGCTCACTTCCGATTAGGAATATTGGTGAAGAAACACAGGGTTAAGTGTGTTGAAGTCGAAGGAGATTATGTAGAAAAATAAAATCATTTTTAACCAACAAGCGAAGTCTTCCATTGTCAAATCGAGAACTTTTCAGCTAATCCTCCTATGTAGTGTCGTCTAAATTGTAGGTGCGGGTTTCACTTTTGTAATACGTTATGAATAATATATTCTAGACTGTAAAACAGTACACAGTATAATAACTGTTGAGTTGGCTGCATCTTAGGCAAGGAGTTGTAATACGGAAAACCGAAAGAGATATTTATTAAAAATTAAAAGGAAAACTCACCCCTAATTACCACATCAACGCGAGACTTAGAATTGTCAAAGTAGGTACATAAAGCACATTTTTTACTTGAATTGTCTGAGGTCTGCCTTCAGAGTCTCTTATTCGTGAATTTACATTACCAAACCGTCTTGTTGTGTGCCACGTGTATATTATTTATTGTTGTAGGAGAAACACTGTACATCCATTTTCTTGAAGTCTCACGTTGATAATGCCCACGTATGAAGTGGACGAAACACGTGTCCGCTCAAATAAACTTTTTTGTGGTAATTAGGGGCGAGTCTTTATTAATATTTACCACAGTCCCCTTTCTACTTCGAAAGAGATACTTTGCCAAACGATGAGGTATTAAAAAACAAAACAAAAATACTGATATGCAAGGGAAGAAGAAGTATGGAAAGAGTGAAAATGTAATGGTAAGAAACAAAAAGTTAGAAGAAGTAGCTGATTTTTGCTATCTAGAAAATCAAACAGAATGGAAGGAGCAGTAAAGATATTAAGCAGAGGCTAGAGTTCGCTTTTAACAAAAAGAAGAAACTTCTATACTCGCGATTGGTTATATTCGAAATTCGAAAAAGATTGTTGAAGGTATACGTTTGGAGCACGGCTCTAGACATAGGCGGTGGACTCTTAATTTGTGGGTACTGCCGCAAGTACTCTTATGTAATCCAACTAATTTTGTTAAATATACAAAATATTATAGCTTGCAGTATGTGCACAGCGATATACATCCATTCAATTCACACTATTCAAATTATTTTAACACTATAAAATAGATGAATTTTTAAAGAACTGTTGGGTTGACAGAGCGTAGGTTCCTCCATGTCTCAATCTCTTGGATCGAAATGCGTGATCATCATTTATATCGATTAAAATCATTTTGAATTTAATATAACATGGTTTGTGTAAAACTTACTTTAATTCCACTGATGAATTGGAGTGTTGTCGGGTTATAAGAAAGGGTATCTATATTTTGGGGACCATATTCGGTAGCAGTATTCCAACAATTTAATGTTGTTTCGTGCGCTAAACCAAAGTATGAAATTCCGTCTTTATCGATGGCTTCGGCTGCACTTTGAGATGGTCTTGTTCCTTTGTATGTCTGAAGAATAAATTGCGTTACCACATTTGTTAATCATAAAAATATTTTTAAACTAAAGCGTCTACTCCTAACAAACTTTACTCAGAAGTACAGGTCGGACGAACAAAGCTGGCGAGCAGTCGTGCAGGTACCTGCCCATTAATGGCTTATTTGGGTAAATCATTCGGAACCGATACACAAATAAGCTTTAATAAGGGTAAACTATTGTATTAATACAGATAAGACAGCAGTGTACTAGTAAATAATATAGAAACAATTTACCAAAAAGAAAAAAATGAACCTAATGCTTTTGTTTGTTTTGTAGTTAGTTAGTTAGTTTCCACATTCACTGTCCTCATCGTAAACAATATCACTGTCAGCAACATTATCAATTAGTTTTCCTGTTTGTATGTCTATTACTTGCTCATTATCTAACATGACATCCCTACTTTTAAATATTTAATCTACGCTCCTAATAGGAATACTGAAGAAAAATGGCTGCAATTGTTATGACTAAAACTGTCTATTCTTTTCACCTTTTTTAAAATTTCCGCCAGCTTCGAGCGTCAGGCATCCAGCACAGTCGGTGAAAACATGAAATCCTTTTATCTGCACAACCAAGTTTTTAGTTGTAATTGTTCCGAAACAACCTCCCAAAAAGCAATTTTTAACGAAAAAACGGTAATTTTTCGGTCACTTTTTTTTAGTTATGGAGTCGCCATTAAAGTTGCTTCCCTCAGAAATATTGTGCAATACCGAATTGTGCAAGATATTGTTTCGAGCTAAGGACCAATTACTACAAAAGCTTGGTCCGCCAACTGCGCTAATCTGTACTTATTATACGGTAAATATGTCTCACAAGTACCTTTTCATTTTTAATTACAATATCCTATAAGGCCAAATGAATGATTCAGAATTAGTTGTTAATCTTTTTTAATTCATATATAGCATATCAATTGTTTTGCTATAGGATTTCTGAACTCTCTAATATGAAATTATTGATTTAACTGAATATCTGAACTATTAAAAGTTAAAAGTTTTATGAATTTTTTGTATGGAAAAACTTACATGGAATATTTCTGGGGATGATTGAGGATTGTTTTCAAACCTGGTACGATTTCTCAGATATGATGTGCTAACGAAGTTCTCTGTGGTACTGGACAATGCACGATAATAGAGTATGCGATCCTTTCCGGGTTTGTAAGGTGAAATAGCCATGCCCAATATTCCGTCCATTAACTCGAAGCTAGTTCCTGAAAAGAAGTTTACAAATTTTTGCTTTTTCTTATTTTTTATATAGCAATCGAAATAAAAAGG